TGGACTACTTAAATTAGGCACCAAAAGTGCACATGTGGCTAGTTGTAACCTCCAATGTAAGGGAGCCCCTGGAGGCATCTGTGTTCAAATACATGAATAAAAACATCAACTCCCACAGACAGGGACTTTAACTCAAAAAAAAAAAAATAAATAAAATTAATATATTTGATAATCTAAAAAATGAAGTTATATATATTAAAAATAATTATTAAAATCTATTGATATTCAAATAAAAAGAACTAAAGAATTTTTTTATTAACTAAAATCATAATTACTAATATATACTAATTTATATAATATTTATATTGTATAGTTGATCCAGAAATTTGATGCTAATTCTTAATAAAAAAGTTTAAGTTTATATTAAATTTAGAAATTACAATACTGAACAACCAAAATATTCAATATTTAAGTAATAAATATTTATAAATAAGAATTTATTTTAAATAGATTAATAAATATTATTATATACTAAATAATTGTAAATAAAAATAAATAAATAAAATTATCATAAATCAAATAGTAAACAGTTATAAACTTGAATAACTTATCTTTTTTTTGGTGTTAAGGTGAAACCTTATCTTTATTCATAGTCATTAAGTAGTAACTACATGAAGTTACTGGATACAAAAAGAATTTCTATTTATGCTATGGCTGAGACCAACACTTGCAGTCAAGGCTAACCATTAAACTGCTAACTATAAAACTATAACTCTAAGTATTAAAGAATAAATTATCTTAAATATTTACATTAATAGATTTACTTTATACTTATATACCTAAAAACAATCATTAATCAAATAGTAACTATTTATAAACTTGAGTGACTTAATTCAAATATTTCTATAAACAAATATTCTTATACAATAAATTAATGTGAATTAAAAAGTAAATATCCATAAAGTGTAATAACTTATTTTAAATATACTCCCGAACTAAACTAATTCTAATAGCAATAGAAAAACATATTTGAAAGCATTATTAAAATTTTCTAAATTGAGTTTAAATACGTATATTAATGGTAGTCGGGAGATCGGCCTTTGGAAATCGGACCGAGGTCTCACAATACTTTTTATTTTGATTATTTTTCTGCTTTGTGCTGAGATGATAGTTTTAGGTTTAGAGCAGTTGGATTTTTATAGAAACGTATTTATTAATACCAATTTAGTTGTGCTGTATATTAAAAATATTTGTTTTTTGCAAATGATTTCGGTTATCGATTCATCAATAATATTTCTGCAATGTACGGAAAGATCTATGAGCATTAGCCAATCATGATGAAACGCTCAAAAGCTTTGTCAAGTATTATTTTTAGTGCTAACAATCAACAACGCCTCAAATTCTCAAGTTCAACAGGCTAATAAAAGTACGCTAATTAACTGCAGATACTACAAATTCCGCAAATTCTGCAACTTCGGTGAATTCGGTAAATGCGCCGCAAGATTTACAATTGGACACTTAAGCCATAACTCATCGTTACACGGCATATGTGAGTAGTGCCACTTGCTGTACTATGAAAATTTTGACCCTGCATTAGGGATGTTATGTAAATTAAAATTTCATGTAATTGTAATTTTGAACATATGACATTTTGGTGTTTGAGATTTAGGAGTTACAATCCGAATCGTACATTCAAATCAAATGATGCAATAATACTGGCCGAAACTTTTGTAAATCTGGTACTTTATGTATGACATATGGAAATTACATTTTCTGAAACTTATGTAAAATTGTTAAATTATGTAATACAACCCTACCCTGCATTGGTAGCAACACCCACATGACCCTTAAGCTTTATGGCCGTCCTGGTGGATTCTTACATTACAGCGCGTAAGCGGAATTAAGCAAACAATTACCAAATCCAATCAAATTTAAATTTTGGTTACCAGATTATATATTAATTAATCAATGATAACCCGATAACGAGTCTAACCCATCTCACTAGACATAGGAATTTATTAAAATGACGCATCATAACTTGGGGAATGTTGATTATCTTAGTCAAAATCTATATTTACATAAATTTTTCGAATTTTGGGGTAGTTTACAAATGCGCCGTAATGAATAAAAATCAAAAGATGCTTTTTATTTACGACCGTTGTTTATAGTACCGTACATATTTATTGTTTTTAGATAATCACTCTTTCAGACATTAAAGGGAAAGCTATGGACACAATATTTCATGCACAGAATTAGCGTTAGGGTTAAGGTTAGGGGGCTTATATGCACAACAATGACTGGATTTGTCACTTGAGTATTGTATTCGTAGACTTCTCGACATTGTTTAAGCCATGGCTACTAGGGCCAAGTTTGCGTCATGGTTTAGTTCATGGTTAAGCCATGGCACAAACAGTGGCTTCAATAGGGTTGTGTCTCATTTCACGAAAACGTTTCCTCAACGTGTCATTTACTTGACATCATAAGATTATAAGTTACTAACAATATGTATATATAGCTAAATTGTCACCCTTTGTGATGACTTTTAAATGACATGTCGAGGATGAGCGTATACCCGGAGCTATGGCTTTGTAGGTGCCAGGGTAAGTCATCCAAGTCGATAACAGCCTGGTGACACCTGTATGAACATTATGAATTTTTTTTTTAGCTACATCAAAATGAAATTTGTGTTAGATCGCCCGAAGCTGAAATTTTTAAATAATTAATATGAAATTTTCAAAATTTTTTGGGATGCTTTCTAACTTTTCTTTTATAGTTAGATTAGAATTTAGGGTTAGTTTTGATAATAAAAATGTATAAGTAGTATTATATATTTAAATTGAGGCCCATAATTTTCAGCCTCAGTCACGTCAATTTTTAATCTGAAGTACAGATATACATTTTACTTTATACTCGCAACCCTTTTCTGAAAGTTTCTGAATATCGCGTTTCAGGGTTTCAATTCCCGAAACCAGTTTTGGTTTACCTTTTCCACGCAATAGCACTCGGATAATGTGTACCAGGTTAGTACGTTATTGTGGCTGATAATAATCGATACCCCGATTCCGATCGTAATGCAAATCGAAATAATAATTTGTAATAAGCTTTTATGATACGTAATTAAAATAAAAATAAAATCGTAAAAAAAAAAAAAAAAAAAAAAAGTATTTGTCATAACGATGCAAAATTACTCAAGTGAAAGAAAAACTTTACCTATTCCGCTTCGACAAATACTTCCATTAGATTATGAATATCAACTTGTAAACTACAACGAATTGACGCCAATAATTACTGCGGAAAATGTGAAAATCGAGCAGATCGTTGTTGATTTACTCGCAAATATTAATACAAAAGAAGATGCTTTAACATGGCTTAATGAATTTCAAGAATGTTCAAAAACTACAATGCGTTTAACACGCACTTATCCAGTTAAAGGAGATAAAGTTGTTTTTAGGGAGTTGTGACATTGCATCCATAGCAATTTAGTCAAACAAAAAAATAATCATCGTGAAACAAAAAATCCAAATGGTCTGTGAAACAGGGATACTGGATGTAAGGCAACTCTAAACCTTCGAATGAAAAAACCTAAAAAATTTGGTTTTGAGGATACTTACCTATTTGAAATAAACCTTCAGTTTATACATAATCATGTGTCCAATTCTGCAAATTCATTGAGTTTTCGATCAGTTGGACTCAATACTCAAAAACGTTATATTGAGTTATTTAATATGGGTCATTCAGCAGCAACTGCACGATATTTATATGAAGATGAATTACATTTATCTACATCTAATGATGATGAACTAGCTCGATTGCTAGCAGATCGGTCAATAAATCCTGATAGAACTTATGTAAAAAATCTTTATAATCAATTTCGTATTTCACAACTGGAGGATCAAAATGGAAAGGGGATGTTTGATTATATGTAAGAGGCTATTACTCTTTATAACAATTCTGGTAAAGGAAAAGCTATACTTCAAACTTATAATTCATCTATATCTATTCCATTTATTTTATATATTGTGACTAACTTAATGAAACGAGTTCATGAAAAAATTCGTCAAGTCGGAGAGCTCTGTTATTTTGATATACCCACTACTTTTGATCCACTTAACACCTCAATTACTCTTCTTTATACAAGTTGCTCAATTGATGCATTACTATTAGGTGTTTTTTTAACTTCAGATGAAACTGAAATTACTATCAAAAATGCTATAAATTTGCTTAAAATAATATTACCAGACAATGTATTTTACAATTGTGGACCACAAATTGGGCCTATGATTATTATTACAGATGATTCTTATGCAGAACATAATGCTATTGCATGTTGCTGGCCAACATGTATACGATTATTATGTATTTTTCACATTTTATAATCAGTTTGGTGTTGGTTGTATAATTCAGGACATAAAATTCATAAAGATGATCATATACAAATTATGACATTATTCAAAAATGTTTTATATACATCTACAGTTAATGAAATAGAAACTGAATTCACAAACTTGCAATCTAAATATTTTACAAAATATGATCAGGTTGCAGCATATTGTTTGTGTCTCTGGAAACATCGAGTTATCTGATCATTAGCATATCAACAAAACTTATTATTACATGGAAATCATACTAACAACTATGTCAAAAGAAGTTTTGTATTTCTAAAAGACATTGTTTTTGTACGTACTAAGGCATATAATCTAGTACAAATCTTTCAATTCATTACAACCAACATGGAGTGTTTTTATGAACAATGAATATTAGCTATAGCAAATCGTCATCCAGGTCATTTAGAAATATCAAAATGGTTCTGCTGCCCAGGATGGGAAGAAATTAATCAAGAAAATATTCAATATGATAATATAAATAATATATATTTCATTCCTAGTGCAACAATTAATAATAAATATTATATCGTTGATTCATCTATTGGAACATGCACTTGTTCTATGGCACTTGGTGGATCACCTTGTAAACATCAAGCAGTAGTTGCTATTAAATATCATACAGGTTCTTTTAATTATATTGTGGCTCTTACTCTTGAAGATTATATGACTTATAGATATATCGCATGTGGTAAAATTTATTAGAATTTATTTATATTTTTACATACATATATATATTAATATACTATATATACTAATAAATTTAAAATATTTAAAAGGAACAATTGCAGAAGATCCAACATTTTATGCATCCTTGCATGCACCAATTGTATCAGGATTCGGTTATAATAATGAAATAAATCATCAAAATAAGAACCCACTTAATGTAGATGAGCAGAATACTGAAGTAATTATTGAAAACTCCCAAAACAGGTTTGTAAAATAAATAAATAAATAAATAAAATACAGACTATAAAATTTGTAAAATTAAACTTATTAATATATTATTGCTATTTTTATTAGGAACCATAAAGATGATATAAATAATCATATAGAATCTGTTGAAACCTTTTTTAATCATATTTTAAATGATATTAAAAATAGTCAACAGCTTCTTAGCGGAATTGAATATTTTATAAAAGGATATGAAAAGTCTGAATCTATATCAGTGGGTAAGCTGACTGCTTATCTCTTTCAACAAAACTCTACATTGAAAAATGAATCAATTCGAAGTGGTTCAAAGATTAAAGTGCAGCCTTCATCAGTTCAACGAAGGAAGTCTTGTACAACAAAGGAAGTCTTGTACAACAAAGGAAGTCTCGTACAACAAAGAAAGTCTTGTACAACAAAGGAAAACACCGATCCATATTCAATTAGAGTGCGCAAGAAAAGAACGGCGCCAAAAAAGGCACATAAATTATCAAAGAACGTCTTAGCAAATAGAATAAATTAATCATTTACTGCATTTTATACTATATTATGTATTAGAATTGCTTTTTTTTTCTTTGCTTAGTAATGCGTATTCAATTAAAGTTGCATTTTTAAAATTGAAAAAAAAATTCGATCGGAATCGGAGTGTCGATGATTATCAGCCACTATGACATACTAACCTGGTACACATTATCCGAGTGCCACGCAATAATATAATTACGTTCTTTCCAAGATCATCATGTTATTTTTAAGGGGAATTTACAAATAAGGGCCCGGAAAGTTAAAATAATTACAAATGCGGGCCCAAATTAAAATAATTACATAAAAAGGCCTAACTTTTTTAAAAATATTACATATAAGGGCCCAAAATAACAGCGACATTATACAAGTCTATGGCTTGATCGTTATTAGCATAAGAAATATAAGCATCGATAAATGTAGTTATTAAGTACATAAAAAATGTAACGATCGATTATAAATTAGTAATAAATTTCATTTTCTTTGTATAAAATTGGTTATTATTATAACAAACAACTATGATATCAAATAAAGCACTGCGAATTGGAATAACATTTACTAAAATGAAGATAATTGTTTTGCTACTCTGTTGAAACTTCATCGTCTTATAAATAATTGTGCTAGCTTAACACTACTTTTTATACAATATTTAAGATAAAATGATTGTAGTCAGTGTTTTATTTATTTTTTTATCTAATAACTGATAGCTATATAACTCTAAATGCCTATAATAAAACAATCAATAATCCTATAATAAGTCAAATAATCAGAGTACTTTGTGGCACAGTAGTTCCGTGATAACGTTTTTCATCCATCAATAGACTTAGGCCCTTATATGTAATGCCCTCATGTGTAATTATTTTAATTTGGGCTCGTGATTGTAATTATTCTCACTTTTCTTGCAAATTCTCCTATTTTTAATTATTCTATTCTTATTATTACACTTTCTTGTAAACATGGTATAAAAATTCTGTACATAAAGAAAAATAATTAATATTTAATTGTGTCGTTATAGTGATCAAATTGATTTTTAAATCGTCAATCTGCTGATAAAAGATAGGAATATATGTTGTAAGAGAGAATGGAATTTTAAGTGAATCTGAAATTCCTTAATATAATTAGAATTTTAACGGTCTAACCTCGATATAGTCGCATTTTCATATAGTCACGGACCGTAAAAAAAAAAGGTATATGTATACATTACCGATTATCATAACCACTTATTATAGGCACTATCACATTAGTCATGTTGAATTTTGGTTACCGCCCAGTAATTATATTGAGATTATATATCCTAACCATAATGCTAATCCGAGAAATTCTGTTTTATGGCAAATATAGAAATAAAAAAAAATAAAAGAAGTAACAATGACGCTATTTGATGATCTTATGCTTTAGCCAATCTTTAGCCAATCTAATATTGCACCACAATGTACGTAAACCACATTTCTAAATTTTCTGCGGAACAATTGCTGCGCATGCATATATTTATAGTTGTAACACCATATGAACAGTTTTAATACTGTATCACAGAATATTCGTGTTACGATCATTTTGGATATAAAGTTAATATTACCTTTTAACATTAAAAAGCTAATGTAATGTACGCATACCGAAGATGACCTAATTTGTAATAGTTAATTTTGTCACGAGAAAAAAAATACAAGAACAAATCACATATCACTATTAATAATAGTACGTAACGTGGGCCTTTATACGTATTACACAGTTTAAATGCTCAAACGGAATTGGTGATTCCGGGTAATTTATATATTAGCAAAATTTCCAATAAATACAGTAGAAGATATTATTTCCGAATTGTAATAAAGAAAAATAATTATAATGGATTGTATGTTTTATAGAATATTTTCGATTAAATAATTTTATCCATTTATTACAAGTTTGTTTTTCGTAATATTCGTAACATTCATAATGTATATTTCACAGATGAAACTATTGCAAAACAAATAATGCCCGATCTTGGTCATAAGATCAAAGATTTCCAGCATTATACTTGGCATATTACTGATTGGAAAAATTTAGAAAAGAGATTAACAGGTCCCGAATTCGAGGTTGGAGGTTGGAAATGGTATATGAACTACTTTTCGAATTGACTTGTAATTATGCGTATCATAAAGAATAAAGAGAATCAATTTATATAGGCGTCTTTTACTTTTTCCTTTGGGAAATTATAATTATGACGATACTTCTGAGGAACATATTGGCATTTATTTGGACTTTGCTGATCCACAAGGAGCACCTGTTGGTTGGCATATTTGTGTACAATTTGCTTTATTGTTATGGAATCAAGAAGAGCCAACAAAATTCGTTAGTCATCGTACGTATATTATATCTAATTAATCTAACTTTGATAACTATTATACGTATTTGTTTACTTTATTTGTATATGTTTATAAAAATAGATACATATCATCTTTTTACTGCCGAAGAACTTGATTGGGGCTTTGCAAAATTTCATGAAAAGAATAAACTGTTTATACCGTCTGGTAAACGAACTCGTCCGCTAATTGAAAATGACACTTGTAATATTACGGTTCTTGTTCGTATACTTGAGAATCCAACTGAATATATAAGTTTAAAAAATCAAGAAATGAATCCTTTTTTCAACTCGGTGCTACAGTCTCTTTATTATATAAAATATTTTCGTAAGGTCTGTTCTAATTTATTATAATAATATCCTGAGTTGTTGAGTATTAGTGAAAACAAATTTTTTTTTGTATACATATTGTGGCTCAAATTATTTTCATTGATCGTTCTTGATATATTAAATTATCTTTCATTCAAGTCTGATAATGAAAGTTTTTTTTTTATTATAGGCAGTATATCAAATCCCTATGGAGGATGTTAACTCAGTAAAAAGTGTTTCATCGGCTTTGCAATGGATTTTCTATCAATTAAACATTTCAAGTGCACCGGTTAAAACAGCTGAGTTAATAAAATTTTTTGGATGGAATGAATTCTTTTTTATAGACGACGTTCGAGAATTTATTAGAATATTGCGGAATGATCTTGAGGATAAGATGAAGGCAAGTATATATCCATTTTTTTATTATAATTCAATTATGAAAAACACATTAAAAGAATTTTATATTAAAAGAATTTTATATTAAAAGAATTTTACTTTTTTTTTTATCTGGATTTAGAATACAAAAGCAGATGGTGTAATTTCTCACCTTTTTGCAGGATCGATAAAAACTTATATTAAGTGCGTTAATGTAAATTATGAATCTTTACATGTAGAAGATTACTATGGTATGCATAAACATGATCCTATAAATATTATATTGACTAGTAATTATTAAATATAATATTAATTTATTCCGATAGATATTCAACTTGATATTAAAGATTGCAAAACTTTAGATGAATCTTTTATGAAATATATAAAAGAAGAAACTTTGGAAGGTGATAATAAATATGATACTGAAGACTATGGCTTGCAAGTAAGATTTACTCCTTTGTTAAGACAATAAATCTTGATATTATACTATATATCATGATACCGCATATATTTGTAGGTTGCCAAAAAAGGTGTAATTTTTGAAAGTTTTCCACCTGTATTGCATTTGCATTTAAATCGTTCTGAGCATGATACGTTTAAGGTATACACATTGATATATCAAGATCTTTACAATTTCATTACACCTTCTCTGATAATGCTAATCTGTTATTTATAGTCAAATGATTGTTGTGAATTTCCAATGGAAATTGATTTACAAAAATATTTGTCACCGAATGCTGACAAATCACAATCATATAAATACTTGCTATATGGGTTTGTACAAAAATAAACTATAAATGTTTGACTAAAGTGTGTTTTGATTATATCTCTCATAATATGGTTTTATTACAAACTAGTGTACTTGTTCGAGATGATGACTATGATACGGATGAGGAACGCTATGCCGCATTTCTAAGACCCGAAAAGAGTAATAAATGGTTTGTCAAATTTATGTTCACTGCTTTATTTATATCATATGCTTATATTGCAAGTTAGTATATTAACTTGTTATGTAACTGGTTTTTAAAATGAAGGATAAAGTTTGATGACCGCGTTACACCAGCATCGATTAATTACGGTTACGAAGGCATATCACAATCTAAGAATGCATACATGTTAATATATATCCGTGAATCTAGTATCGATGAAATATTTTCTCTAATACTTCCTGAAGATATGCCGAAACATTTACGTGAGTATAAAATGTGTGCTCATTTCTATATTAAGCTTTTATTTCATAAATTAATACTTTTCCAATCATGTTAGAATGCCGACCATATGACGAAAAAGAAAAACACCTATATTTACAAACATGGGTAAGCACTAAATGATAATTTATTATCAATGTAAATTTTAATTTTTATATTATTTAGGTTGTAACAGAAATGGTAGTGAAGAATCATAGAGGATTTGATCTTGTTAATTTCGATAATCAACAATATCCATTATCAGAAATTCCCCAATTTAAAATTTCAAAAGAAGACACCTACGATAGTTTTAAGAGTATGATTGCTACACAATTTAAAGTCCCTATTGATAAATTAAGGTTCTGGGTAATTGTAAATCGACAGAATAAAACAATTAGACTACATGAGCCTATAAAAGATGATTGTCTTAACATAAGTAGGTATTTACGCTACATAATTCACATTTTATCTTTATAAGCATTTCATAAAAATTTTTATTACTACTAGCAATGGAAGAAATCAGTAGAAATATAGTAGGATGTAATGAGTTAAGATTGTATATGGAAATAGTGGAAAAGCCAATAAATTTCAAGGTAGTTACCTCCCACAAACTAATACAGTAATGTATTATATAATATATATCTAATTTTAATTTGCAACTTATATAGAAAAATCATTCACAGGCTGGATCAATTATCATTTTTATTAAATATTTTAATCCAGATTCACAGTCATTAGAGTGTGTAAATTTAATTTAGCTTAATTCAAATGTACAATTGATTGTCATGTTGTGAGAATTAATATAGCCTTCATTCACATGGATAGGAGCCTTGGTCAGTTATATGTTAAGAAGAGTTGTAGGATTAATAGCATTTTTCCCGCTCTACGTAAGAAAAAACAATTACCACTAAAAACATCTTTAAAAATATATGAAGTAAGTTAATTATAATACTAATTTCAGAATTTAAACCTTATTTTTTGTTGGATGATTAACGACATTTATTTTTATCTTTGTAAAAATTCTAGGAAATTACACCATATATGGTTAAAAAAATTGCATCAAGACATACTTTTATAAAGTTCAATATACAAAATGGTGATATATTATGTTTCCAAAAGGCATTAAAAAATAAAGAGTATGCAATTAAAATTTTAAAATCCTATTGAAATACAGAGTAATTTAAGATAATCTGACTGAGATTATTTTACCTTAATTAGGATTCAAGAGTATGAATTAGCAAGTCGTATAAGTAGCATTCCTCAATTTTATGAATCATTATCAGAAAATATTGTCGTTAAGTTTAAATCAAAATTCGGATACCGAGACCCACTGCCTGAATTTGATTTATTTTTAAATAAAAATCTGCCATTTAAAGTTGTGCGTTTAATTCCACTTAATTCATTTTCTTTTTCATTATATTATTACGGTTATTTTTATCTAATCAGATTTCTTTTTCCTATTTATTTAGGTGGCTAATCAAGTTGCTGCACATCTTAACGTTGATCTTTTAAGATTACATTTCATTTTAGTAGATTCGTCTGGAAAAAAAAGGGAAGTAATTAAAACTATTGATCATACAATATCAGAAATTCTTCAGTCTTCAACATTTATATATTACGAGTTACTGACAATTAGTATCTAGAATATTATATCAAAATTTCATATGCCGATTATAAATAATATATTTTTCGAATTCCTTGATATGTTAACTATTTGTATATAGCTAGAATTTAAGCAATATTTATGTCAAGATATAAAACCTAAATTAGTGATATAATAGTTATGGCCAAATGGTGCGTAACGAACTTATTAACTGTAGTAATAGTTTACAGTAAACTTGGTCACCGAAACCTTTTTGGCCAAATCCGAAAGTTTCGGGTTTCGGATTATAGTTTCCGAAACCTCATCCGAAAC